CACTTTCAGGGTGCCATAATTGAAGGTGTGTACCTTAGCTTTTTGGTGATTTTTTTTTAAAACTCTATCCTTCACTCAATGTAGCTTTTACAACTCAGGGTTATCATATATTTTTTTTTAAGTAAAAAAATTTTTTTGAGAACTTCACATGAGTTTTGTATCTATAAAATTTCTGCCCTTCCCTCTCTTCTCCAATATCTCTTGTCCCTTCCTCTTTCTCTCTCAAATTTATGATTTTCTCTCCTCTTATTGTTTGGCACACACACATACACACACATACACACTACAGAGTCACTTAGTGTTGTTTGTGTGTACATGTGTTTAGGGCTGACCACTTGGGATTGGATAACGGATCAAGGGCTCATCCTAGAGAAAACTTATCCTCTCTCTCTCTTAGAAGCTGTTGATTGCCTATAGCTCTTCATGTAGAGGTGGAGCTTTGTGAAAATTTTCCCATTGATGATGACATGTTAACTATGGTTATTGTCATTCTCAACATGACAATAAAGTTGTTATCATTGTGTAGGTCTTTGATACAGCCATATCTAATGAGAACGGTGAAAGTCATAAAGCCAGAACAGATGTTTGACAAAGCTCCAGCAAAGCTGAGCTGAGTCATCAATTGCTGAGGTACAGTCTCCCACTTTTTGGCATTGAGCTCCATGTGTCACATGTTTTGGGGGATCTTTTACTTGTACAACATGGGATAGTGGATTGATGGAAGTTTTCTTATGAATCATTTACACCTTCTCCCAGGAATACTGCTTCTAAGCTTCCCCAGGAAAGTCTTGACCATATTACTCCTGCTTTTAAGGAGATATCTTTATCTGGCCCTACCTGAAGATTTTCCTTACACCCTGGAGGTTTTGACTCAAGTAAATATTACAGAGACCTCTTTACGAGGTTCTGACTCAAAGATACTCTTGGCACATCTGCCTCTGCCACTTACTCAGGAACAAGATAATCAGAGCAAAGTAAACTTAAAAAGGTAAGCAGTGTTTGGTGGGCTAAAGAAGTTGGCAGCAGATCAAATTAAAACCCTCTTTCTTATACCAATGGACAAAGAATGGTGTGGATAAATATCAAAGAATAAAGCATTAGGACTCTCTTTCTTAGAAAAAGTGAGCTCATATAGGGCCACTGTGGTGTCATATGACCAAGGAACAAAAAAATACCAAGATTAGACATATAAATAAATTCTACAAATATATAAAATATGAACATTGCATTAAATTATTAAATAATAACTGCAGCAACTTCGGCCTGAAAATTTTTCTTAGGCCTAATAATGACAATTAGTATTCTGACTATTGAAAGTTGATAATGCACTGCTTTGGACATGACAATCTGCCTAGGCTGGCTTGGAGATTTTCTTTATGTCCTTGAAACCACAAGAATTACCAGCCAGAGAATGAGCTGTCCTGGTTTGGCAAAATATGCCCTTGCAACTACAATATTTTTAAAAGTTGGGTTGTGGGGTTAATGAGGGAAAATGACTGTAAAAGATAATTCTGTTTTTATCATAGATCTGTGTTCTGGAACAACATGCATCTCTCCCTACCTACTGAGTTCTGTATAAATAAAGAAGCACCCAGACTGCCGATCAGTCAGGATATAAAACTCCTCCCTATCCCCATGCCTGACTCATTCCTCCTTTCCTCCTCTTGCATCCAGCCTTCTTTGGCTCTGACCTCCCCTGGGGCTGGACCCCAGCAGGTCTTGTTTGGGCAACTGTATTGTTGAGATTTCATGAGTACAGTTTTCTTGTCTTGACCAGAAGATACTATCTTCCAGCTGACATCGTGGTCCTGTATTTTAGAATCTTCCTGCTCTTCCTTACTCCATTTTCTTGACCCTTAGGTATAGAGGTTGTGTTGTAGACTATCAGTTGAGCTTGGCACTGTAGGCTCTGTATTTTGACCACTTGTAGATTCCTCTAGTAGCTTCCATCTACTGCAAAAAGAAGCTTCTTTGAGGAGGGCTGAGAGCTACACTTACTGTGATTAGAAGAATAAGTATTCAGAATGCAGTTAGAAATTATGCTGTTTTAGGAAAAAAATTGTCAGTAGTAAGTTCTCCACTAGAGTCTGTGATGTCACCAGCCATGGGTAATTGACTAGGTTTGCATTACCATGCATGAATTCCATGCTACTGAGCAGACTTTTAAGAACAATTAGTTGTTGGTTATCCCCTGGATGAATGCTTGGACATGGGTATAAGCAAATAGGAAGTCTTTAGTATTTATTATTATTATTTATTGTTCAGGATCCCAGTATAGTCCCGAGCCTTTCTCAGGATGAGCTTTTAAGCATAGATAGCATGTCCTGAGTTGACATACTTCAGCTAAGAAGAACGAGAACAGTTACCAGAAGCAGAACTACAGAAAACAAAGCAAGGTTAGTGCATTTAAAGTCCCATTAACTATGGACTTTGCTGGATTAGGTCTTTGTTTCAGTTTTGCCAGGTGGTGCTGTCTACATGCTGAGTTTACAGCCTGAATGTACTTCTACCATTGAGTTAGTTGTGCTAAGGACTTGGGCCCTACTGAGGTCTGGGGTCCTCTTATAATAACATATATATACAGAGAACCTGGTACAGACCTATGCAGGCTCTATGCGTGCTGCTTCAATCTCTAAGAGTTCACATGAGCATTTCTCATGCTGATTTAGAGAGCCTTTTTTTCTTTGTGTCTTCAATAGCCTGTCTGGCTCTTATACTCTTCTACCTCCTCATAAGGTATCCTGCCTGCAAGATATGCTAGGGCAATGGTTCCACAAACCTTGTGGAAATAAACAACCAATCACTGATTTGACTTAAAGCCCATACCATAGATGGAAACCATACCCAACACTGCTTGGGTGACCAAGAACCTGAGGCTAGATAACCCAGGCAACTAAGGTAAAACCAAATAATACTGGTCTAAAAAAGAAAAGAAAGGAGGGAAGAAAGAAAAGAATAGAGTAATGAAGTGATTCCTAGAGATATTTTGCTATACTCATAAATCAGTGCCTTGTTCGCCCATCATAAGAGAAGCTTCCTCCTGCAGCAGATGGAAACCCACAGACAGACATTATGCAGAGAGTGGGAGACCTTGGAATGCTCAGCCTTAAATAAGCTGTCTCCATCAAATCCCTCCCCTAAGAAGATCGCTTTTAGTTCTGTTTCTGATTATTTCCATACCTGAATAATGGGTAATTCTTAAAAATTTTGGTGGCATTTTTGTTTTAAATGTGGAGGTCAGCTTTCTCTGCTGTGATCTCTAGGAGGAAGTTGGAACTCTCTTAGCTCCTTTCCTCATGCCACTTAATCCCTGTCACCATCTCCCTCTTGAGAGCCAGAGTCATGGGTTGTCTGTTAGACTTCTTTAAAGTGGAGATTTCTTACGTTGGTGGCTTATTTCTGTCCTGGAAATGAGAATGTAAAGTAAAATTTCCTCTATACTTAGGAATTAAGTTATGTGTGGGATGGAAGGTTAAAATTTTGCCCTCTTCTTTGTTCTTTGATAAAGTTTTATCTTTAGAAGACTAAGTCAAATGGAAATATTAAAGATAAAAATTATGTCTCTACCTTGTACGACTGTTAAGAAAACTAAGTAAAGGTGTGTATGACAAATCTCAACTTTGTAATGTCATATGTTTCTGAACACTTTTACGGTAAGTGTTCAGTCTGCAGTCTGAATGATCAACCAGTAGACATTGGAATTTGGATGTAATTGTTTCCTATTGCATTTGTTGCTGTTAGAGAGAACCTTAAATATTGGCTTTTTACAAATAAGCGTACTTTTCTTTTACACAGTTGATACATTAAAGAAAATTGACATTCCGTCTGTCTTTATTGGTGAATCATCAGCTAATTCCCTGAAAGATGAATTCACATATGAAAAAGGGTAAGTAATAAATATTAAAAAATAAGTCATGTAACTTCAGATTGTTTATTTTTTTAGAGTAGAATTATATAATTTTAGTTACACTGATATTTGTTTATTTATTTAAAGACACGGTTTCACTATATATCCCTGGCTATCCTGGAAAAATTGTTTTTAATATGTTAATAAGTACCAAATTATCTCTTAATACAAGCCACTGTATTATAAAAAATGTTTTTATTTGGATTTGTATTTTGTATTAAATACAAATTTGATTATATATTAAAATTATGTTCATGCTATGGAGAGTTGCTAATGTTGTCATCAATACTTAGTAAAAGTATTAGCTGCATTACCTATGGAGTTTACAGTGTTCGGGCATGGTCATAGAAGGTAATGCGGTAAGAAATTCTTAAAACTGTTTAAAGTACCTCTTTCCTCCTCAAAAATTGAGATTCATCTGGGGTTACTCTGTAGGCTCAGCTGTGTGAGATATGAAAATGGAAAAGAAGCAGTTCTCAATCATGTGTAATTGCTGTCAGCTTGGTGAAGGAAGAGCAGTATCGCCTGGAGAGATGTCTCAGTGATTAAGAGCACTGGCTGCTCTTCCAGAGGAACTGGGTTCAATTCCCTGCCCTCACATGGCAGCTCATAACTGTCTGCAACTCTGATTCCAGGGGACCCGACACCCTCACACCTATGTACATAAAATAAAATTAAATAATTAAAGAAAGAACAGTATCTTGAATATGAATTTGTATCTTAGTTAGATTTACATTGCTGTGATAAAACACCACGACCAAAAGCAATTTGGGAAGGAAGTGATCTATTTTGCTTACACTTCCAGGTAACAGTCCTACACTGAGAAGGAAGTATGACTGAAGCAGAAACCATGAAGGATCACTGTTCATTGGCTTGCTCCTATGGCTTACTCAGCCTACTTTCTTAAAAACCCCAACCAGGACAAGCTGCTTAGGGGTGGCACCATCCACAGTGGGCTGAGCCCTCCCACATCAATTACTAGTTAAGAAAATGCCCCCACAGACTTGCCTGTGGGCCAGTCTTATGAAGACATTTTCTCAATTGTGTTTCTCTCTTCTTAGATGACTGTAACGTGTATGAAGTTGACAATAAACAAGTCAGAACAACCTATAATTTAAGATGCTTAAAATAGTCAATTTTACAGTATTTAGAATTCTCATAATATGTCATTTTTAAAAATTTAATCACTTTGCTTGACCATTGCTAAAATGATTTGAAATGTGGCAGGCAAGCATGAATAGGACACATAGAATCAGTGCATCTGGGAATGTCTGTAATGAATTCCAGCCTTGTACTTATAAACAGAGCATTTTCATTCTAACGTGTTAATTTATACTTTATTGGAATTTCCTTGTTTGATTTTTTTAGCTTGTTTTTTCTTGCCTAGCAAGTTATGTCTGAGCAATTCAACATACTAAATCATAGGACACTTTGTTTTGTCATATGGGAAAAATGTATCTACATAAGTGATAGGCATGAAATAAAACTCAGAATCGATGAAACATAAGTTTTCTACTGAAAGATATTAAATTATAATTGAAGCTGGGCTCGGTGGTGCACGCCTAGAATCCCAGCATTTTGGGAGTTCAAAGCCAGCCTGGTCTACAAAGTGAGTCTAGGATAGCCAAGGTGACATAGAGAAACCCTGTCTTGAAAAACAAAAAGCAAAGCAAGAAAGGAAGGAAAGGAAGGAAAGGAAGGAAAGGAAGGAAAGGAAGGAAAGGAAGGAAGGAAGGAAGGAAAGGAAGGAAAGGAAAGGAAAGGAAGGAAGGAAGGAAGGAAGGAAGGAAGGAAGGAAGGAAGGAAGGAAGGAAGGAAAGGAAGGAAGGAAGACAAAGAAAAAGAAAGAAACTACAGATGGTTAAAATTAGTTATGGAGCAGCCTGAGTTTTGGACCCAGCACTGTTAATTTATAGCATGTCATGGGGGAGTGAGATAGTGACATACCAGAAGATCAATCACACAGTGATCACATCAGTGGTACCTTTGTTGTAGTAAAGAGGGTACATGGCTAGAACTGGAAAATTATTTCCTTTTGCTAAAAAAGATGATCAATTAAATAGGTTGGCCCAAACCTGCTCCTTCCTTCTTTCCTTCCTTCCTTCCTTCCTTCCTTCCTTCCTTCCTTCCTTCCTTCCTTCCTTCCTTCCTTCCTTGGTATTTTATACAAAGCTGCAAAAATATATGTGAAATAATTTATTATCTTCTGCTGAAAGTGACATTTTTATTCTAGCAATCCTAGCAAATTTTAGAGGGTATTTACAATATTTGGAAAAAAAAATCTCTGATATTATCCATATTTGTATTGAATTCCTTGCATGCAAATTTGACAAATGATAGCAGTAAAAATAGCTGGGAATAAAACTGTTCATTTTTTTTTCATAAGATTGTAAAATCCCAAAGATCTCTATTAGTGGGAAAAGAAGCAACTTGTTCTTATTTTCTTTTATACTAAGAGTTATTACTTTACCTTGAACTGAATATATGCTTTTATCAGCTTAGTGGGGAAAATCACCTACCAGTAAGCGGTAGGATAACATGGCCAACACTATTCTGGTCTAGTACCTCAGAGAAATCCACATTGCTGAGTGTAGTATACCTCTCCTTAGACTCAGAGTAGTTGTAAAACAATGCTTTCATATCATGTCAAATGTGGCCATGCATGAAATACAGATAGTGAACTTAATTCTTATCTTTTTGTTTTTGTTTGTTTCTCTGTGTAGCAATCTCTAGCTGTTCTGGACTTGCTTTGTAGCTCAGGCTGGCCTCGAACTCATAGAGATCCATCTGCCCTTGCTTCCTGAGTGAGCACTTGGGTTACAGTTGTACAACACTATGCCTGGACCTCATTGCCATTTGTTTGTTTGAATTCACTTTACATCCTGTTGTAGCCCTATCCCTCCTTTCCTCCCAATGGCATTCTCCCTTCTTCCCTCCATCCCTCCCTCCTTCTCTCCCTCCCTCCCACCCCTTTCCCCCTCCCCTTTTCCTTATTATTGTTTTTATCTGATAGGAGTCTATCAATTTTGTGAAAGTGATGTCTAACCAACAACATGGTTATATTAAAGAGGAATGAGGTATTTGATATTCTCTGATTCCAATCTCCACAGTGTATATATTTCTGTAACACTTCTGGCCAAACAGTGGAGAACATGGACATGTAGAAGAAATTACCGTTTGGATTTGCTTGATGAGATTTCTTTTTTTCATTGCACATCTCATAGATAACTGCAGGGATACAGGGACTGTGTCTATTGTACCAGGTCCAGTAGGTGAAGTATATAAGGAGGAAGGGGTATTGTTTGTGTCAGTAATTATTCTAGAGCAGTGGTTCTCAACTTCTGGGTCATGACCCCTTTAGGGGTTGCATAGCAGATATTTACCTTGTGATTCACAACAATAGCAGAATTAAAGTTATGAAGTAACAATGAAATAATTTTATCATTGGGATCACCACAACGTGAAGAACTATATTAAAAGGGCCACAGCATTAGGAAAGTTGAGAACCACTGTTATAGAGCAACTGTTTTAAAAAAAAAGTTTTTAGTTTTTATTTTATATTTATGAGTGTCTGCCTACATCTATGTATGTACATCAAGTGCATGCTGGGTGTCTGTGGAGGCCCAAAGAAAGCATTTGGTCCTCTGTAGCTGGAGTTAGAGGTGGTTGTGAGTCACCCAATAGAGATACTAGAAATTGAACCCTGTTCCTCTGCAAGAGCAGCAAGTGGTCTTAAGCATTGAGCTCTTTTTAGCTCTAAGTTTTTATGTTGATGGAAATGAATGAGGTAGAGTTTTTTATTACATGCTACTGGAGGTACAATTGTTTTTGTTTGTTTTTAAGGTTTATTTATTATTTTATTTTCTCTGTGTGTTTTTCTTATGTATATGGAAGTTTACCATGTGTGTGCCTGGTGCTTGTAGAGGTCATAAGAACGTGTTGGATCCCATATAAATGGAGTTTTGAATGGTTTTGAACCATCATGTGGGTTCAGTGAATTAAAACCAGGTCCTTTGCAACAGCAGCAAATACTCTTTAACTACTGAGCCATCTCTCTAGCCCTATTATTGCTTTTTATGCTGATGTTACATATAAAATACAAGTTATGCATAGTTTGCTGCATTCAGTAAATAATGTTCCTCGAGGGGTTTTTCTGAAAAATGTGCAAAATAGACAAAAATGTAAGAAGCCTCTCTTAAATTAGGCATTCTCAAGCTTCCTAATGCTGAAACTCCTTAATACAGTTTCTCATGTTGTGACCCCCCCCAACCACAAAGTTATTTTCATTCTTACTTCATAACTGTAATTTTTGCTTCTGTTGTGAATCATAATGTAATTATCTGTATTTTCTGATGGTCTTGGGTGACCCCTATGAAAGAAAGAGCCATGTAACCCCCAAAGGGGTCATGACCCACAGGTTGAGAACCACTGCCTTAAACTATGTAAATGATATTTTAGAAAATGAGATATGCAGAGTAGATTTATTGGCCATGTCATTATTTTTTGTTTTTAAATGACGGGATTTGATAATTGTTACTAGTTATTAATTTTTCTTTCTTCTAGGGGCCACGTTATCTTAGTTCCAGAACTGAGTCTCCCTTTGGAATACTATCTGATCCCCTTCCTCATCATAGTGGGCATCTGCCTCATCCTGATAGTCATTTTTATGGTAGGTCAGTTGACTTCTAATAATTATAAAAGCACTATGAGTAGACCTAAAGTCATTGAAAATTTAAGTAAACGATGCCTTATATGAAAGATTACATGTGGAGTATATCTTTTTATATAAAGTTCTTGAAAAGACAATTATAGTGTGAAAGAAAACAAAAAAAAAATCTAAACAAACAAACAAAGAAAGAACAGTAATTGTGATCAGGGACCTGGAGATGGGTAAAGGATTGCTGGAATGGTAGAAGGAAACTTTCCCAGGTAAGAAGCATGTTCTGTATCTAGATAGAAATTTGGGGTACACAAATACATAGTGTTTGTCTGAATCTATTAATTGTATATACATGTATATCATGTGCAAACATGCACAAACAGTATTTGAGGGATATATACTGATATTTGTATCTTAGCTTGAAATGTATAATAAAAAACTAAGGAGGGCTGGAGAGATAGTTCAGTGTTAAGAGCACTTGTTCTTGCAGAAGATCTGGGTTCATGTCCCACCACTTTCACAGTAACGGTTCACACCCATCTGTAATTCCAGTTCCAGGGGGTCTAATGCCCTCTTCTGACCTTTGTGGGCACCAGGCATGCATGTGGTGCATATATATATATATATATATATATATATATATATATATATGTATGTATGTATGTATGTATGTATGTATGTATGTATATACACACACACACATACATACAAAACACACACATATACAAAATAAAATTAAAAACTACGGAGAAAAAAGGGCGATGTATTGATTGGCACATACAGTGGATAGACATCTAATAAAGTGTCATTTGAGTCTGTGTAGTGGTATGTTGGTATTAGCAACAAACTGTCCAGGTTCACCTGGAAGTAAATTTGAGAGAATGTGTATTAAAATGTAAATTATAATATTCTGAAGGCTTGAGGTAAAGGGATGGTACATTGGTTCTCTAAGATCATTATAGCCAGAGTGTGGCTGCAGGACTCTAGACTAGGTGATGTCCAAGTTGTTTTTAAAATGATAATAAGCTAATATTTGCTCGGGTCACTCCTAATTCATTCACCTCCCCCTCCCCCTTTAAGATGGTGCCTCACTGTATATCCTTGGCTGTCCTGGAACTCAACTATGTAGATGAGTCTGGCTTTAAACTCAGAGATTTGTGTGCTGGAAGTGAAGGTGTGTGACATCACACTTGGCTAGGTCCTAAATTTTTTAGGTTTATATCAAGGAAATTTCTAGACATATAATATGTGTTATATTTGAAGGGAGAATAAATGTAAAATTATTCAATATTATTTATTCAAATATTAACAGAAAAAATTATAGAAAACTCTTTCTTGCCATTTTAGTCTCTCAGCAGCTTTGACTTCCTGCACAGTATTGGGCCTTGTCAGCGTTCCATCATGGAGTATGGTGATCCTCATTTCCCTGAGGATTTGTAGGCAGTTAACAATTAGGGGAGAGGGCCTCATTAGACACCATTCCTCCTGGAGATTTTGTAGAAGAAACATTTTCTTCAGTGCCGTAGCCACTGGTAAATTATCTGTGCTGCTGAAATAACCTTTACCTGCACTCCTGTAAAGTTATACTCATTAAATTGGCTTATGCACCAAACAACAACAAAAAGACATAAAAGTCAAAGGGGGATTCACTGCAAATCAGAGTGATCAGGAGTTGTAGGAAATGAAGAAGAGAGGGTTAAGTAGTAGATATCCTTAATTTTATTTTAAAAATATGCTATATTAGAAAATAAGAAAAAGCCTTAACTGTGTGAAACTAGAATGATTATGATGGTATAGTTATTTTTATGTTTTAAAAGTTATGATAGAACACACACAGACTTTTAGCCATTTAATGTGCTTAGCTCTGTCTGTGAAGTCTGATCACACCATGGACTTGTCGCTGCCACTATTAGTGTATAGTTTCCAGAGATTAATATATATGTAACTAACTTAACAAATAAAATAACAGATTTAATATTAGTGTGCTACAGTACTAGATAACAACATTCAAGTATTCGTTAAGAACCTTTATTCCCTCCATTTGTCATGGACTTTAAAAGCATGATGAACAGCATGTGCATATTTGTGTTTAGTACATATGTAAACCAGATTTTACAACCTAGGGGCACTTGATTTAAAGACACATCAAATATTAATTTCTTCATTTAAAGTTTATTTAATTCTTTGGCATTTTTATGCATGTATGTAATGAATTTTGATCATGCGCATTCTCTTTTGTCCCCTTGGTCTCAATGAGTCTCCTTCCTACTTTCATGTAGTCTGTCTGTCTCTCCTCCCCTTCTCTCTTTGTGCCCCACTGAGTTTAATTAGAGTTGCTTGTGATTATGGATGGGATGTTATTTACTAGAGCATGGTCACTTTGGCTCATGATCTTACCCTCATCCATGAAGGAATATTTACAGGCAGGTATTGTGAAGGTAAGAATAACTGTGTGAGATCACTATAAGCCCCTTGAGACATGAGCGACTAAACCCTGTCCTCCATCCTTCCCTCCCCACTCCCAACAGCCATACCACCTTTTCTAGCCCCTTGAGAGAGAGAGTGGCCAGGTCTAAGATGAGGCCACAAAATCCTTCTAATCCCAGGCCACCCTGGAAAGACACTCCCCACTACCACCTCTGGAAACCTTTATATAAGCCAGTTCTTTGCTGCTTCTCTCCTGAGCAGAGGTAGCCACCCTCCCTCCTATGTCTTTCCCAATAAGTCTCTATGAGGTTTGTTGTGTAGTCTGCCTGTGATATTTCTTGACTCCCAATTCCCAGTATACCTTCGCCTCAGAGCTGTAACACTTATAATCATGAGTATGACAGCCATTTCGTGTCCCAAAGGCAGCGTTTCATGTTACTCCTCTCTTTCCTCCCTCCAACTCCTATGTTCTTTCCAGCAATACTCCCTAAACCTTGGAGGGCAAATGTAGATGTCCCTTTTAGGGCTAGACATTCAATAAGTGATGTATTATCAGAACTTTGACCATCCCAGCAATAATTGCCTCCCACTCGGGGAAAAAAAGCTTCTTTGACTAAAGCTGACAGGAACATAGCATAAGCATAAAGATTTAGAGGTGAGTTGATAGGTATATCATGTCTTTTAGTAAAACAATAGCATAAGCTTCCTTGCTAGGTTCTGTGATTTCCCTAGCTACAGGCTTTTTCTTTTTCTTTTTTTCTTATGTATGTGTATTTATGTATGTATGGTGTATGTGTGTGGTACATATATGTGAATAAGTGGCTGTGTAAATGTAGAGATCAGAGGAAGATGCTAAGTGTCTTTGTCTATAACTCTCCACCTTGCCTTGAGACAGGGTCTCACACTAAACTAAGAGCTCACCATTTCAACTAGTCTAGATGGCCAGTGAGCTCTCAGAATCTGCCTTTCTCTGCCCACCTATGCTGGCGTTACAGGCACATGCAGCCATGTCTGCAGCTTTTTATAGGGGTGATAGGTCTCCAAACTCAGGTTCTCATGCCTGCACAGCAAATGCTCTTACCTGCCAACCCATCTCTCCAGCCCTTAGCTAACAGTTTTATAGGTCTACAGTGCTAGACATGATTTTTCTCTTGGGAAAAAGACCACAAATCCAGCAAGGAAATGGTGGTTACCCCCATGTAGTGCCAGTTACACAGTGGGCACGTCTTGCTTGCCTGCTCGGTAGTATAGAATCAAGGTGTACTAAGTATCTTGCTGAATAAGATTGAATTAGCACCTCCCAGTACTATGAGTTAGGAAGCTTACGCCTCAGTTCAGCTTAATCTCTGTGTATTGTGTATGACTGGAATTATAGCAGCCTCGGCAAAAGGTCTTACCATGTAGCCCTCATAGGCAACCAACAGCAATAGAAATAGCCTGTATTATTTTGGAAGCCTCTGGGGATACCCAGCTAACAACTCTTAGGTTAGTAGCTCATACTGGCCCTGAGATTTGCAGTTGATAATCATGACTTCTGAGAGTGGCTTTTTTCACCTTGGAGAGGGTATCTTCATTCAAACTTTTAAAGTTTTTATGTATCTATTTATTGTTTGTTGAACATTTTCCTCCTCATAATGCCTTTTCTCATTTCTCATGCCTCTACCTCCCATTGGTCCTTAGACAGCTTTACTTTCAAGTCATATATGTGTACACACACACACACACACACACACACACACACACACACGACTTTGTATAGCAATATAAAATCTAGGAACCACAAATACAAGTGACTTGTATTTGTCTGTGATTAACTTACTGTGCTTGATATGATTATGTCCAGTTGCATCTATTTTCCTGAAAGTGGTGTAACTTTTGTTGACAAAACAAACAAACAAACAAACAAAACCCTGGTGTTTGTATGTATGTATATTACATTTTTCTTATATATTCCTCAGTTGTTGGACACCTACGTTGGTTCCATACTTTAGCTACTATAAATCCTGCTGCTTTTAACATTGAATATGTATATTTATCTATGACATGTCAACTTGAAGTTTTTTGAGTAAATTCCCCAGGACATATGGGGATCATATGGAAGATAAGTGTTAGGCTCTTTTGGAAACCTCCAGATTGATTTCCATAATGGCTAGACTACGTACATTCCCACTAGCAGTTTATATGGGCTCACATTGCACATATCCATGCCAGTGTTCGTGGTTATTGGTTTTTTAATGACTGACATTCTGTGTTACAGCGGAATCCAAGGTCATTTCGATTTTAATTTCTCTGATCGTTTGTGAATTGAACACTTTCAAATGTTAATAGCCATTTGTGTTTACTCTTTTGAGAACTGTTTTTTTTTTTTTTCATTAGCTCATTTATTAATTGAGTTGTTTGACTTCTTGTTTAGTTTTTGGACTTTTAATATTCCACATATAAATTCTCTGTCATATTTATAGCTAGGAAATATTTTTCTATCATTCGGTAGGCTGGTTATTTTTCACAGAGGGAGCTGTTACTGTACACAAGCCTTTTGACTTCATGAGATTCTACTTGTCAGTTTTTGACTTAATTTCTTG